TGGGAAGGAATTCTTCCCTGGGAGGGCGGGGAGGGACTGGAATGCAATTCCCAGAGAAGCTGTGGCTGCCCCATCCCTGGAAGTGTTCAAGGCCTGGTTGGATGGGGCTTGGAGCAACCTGGTCTATGGAGGGTGTCCCCATGGCAGGGGGTGGAACCTTCCTCATCTTTCAGGTCCCTTCCAGCCCAAACCATTCTGGGGTTCCCTGATGGAGATGTGGGAGCTGCACAGTTGGAGTTACAGCCCTGGGACAGGGATCAGGGTTGTGTCAGAGCCTTCAGATCCCCAAAAGCAAGTGAGGGCTCGCTGTCCTCTGCAAGGAGCTGCAGTTCTGCCCTGGTCACCTCTGAGAGCTGCTGCAGGGAGGTGGCCTGGCTTGGCAAGGGAATTCATCCAAGTCCCTGCATGGATTTGAAAGTGGAACAGCTCCCTGTGCTGCCCCAAAGCCACGTGTGCTCAGTGTGACCCAGGGCTGGGCTGGTGCCGTCCCTGAACCTCCTGCTCTCAGCAGGAACTTCCTGAAAGTCTCTGTGGAGGGGTTTGGAGGAGCCCCGATGGTGAATTCTACTTTAACAAAAGTAGGAAGAGAAATCTCTGCCCCTTCCCAAAGCAGTTCCCCCCTCTGTGCTCTCCGTGGGGTGTGTTGGGTTTCTCTGCCAGCCCAGGGGCACAGCGACCATCTGCTCCAGGTCAGGTTCCCTCCCTGGGCTTTTCCTGGGCAGTGTTGTGCTCAAAGGGAGGGTTCTGCCTCCACAGCCAGGCTGGGAGTGTTGCCCTTGCAGGCTGTCCCCTCTGTCCCACGGGCAGAGCTCCGGACACGGCCGTGGGCAGGAGCATCCCCCGGGATGCAGGACAGGGCTGACCCCAGGGAAGGACCAGGGCCCAGGTGGTGAAGCTCCACAGCGTTGGGACTGACTCAACCACTCCTTGGCAGCTGAGAGACCCCAAAAATAACAGCCCCTGGGGGGTCTGGTGGGGCCCAGCTGAGTGTTGTCCCACTGTTATCCAGGGATTTGCCTCGTGCTCTTTTCCACGTCTCCTGGGGGTGGGAATGGCCACGAGAGGTTCATCCATCTGCTGGGAAAGGGCTGGGAGCAGCCTCCAGCTCGAGCACTGGATATTTGCTCTCTCCTAGGGCTCTCCCTGGGTTTCTCCCTGGGCTCCTCTCCCTGTTCCTGCCTGTTTTCCCAGGCAGGTTTTGCTGACGTGGTTTGGGATCAGGACACTCTGCAGCGCCAGGAAACCACAGCGTGAGGGTGGTGTGGCTGAAACTTCAGTCAGGGCAGCAACTGAACCCTCCCACCTCCCCCTGTGACCCTTCCCAGCTGAAACTGTGATGGGCCAAGTCACTGTGGACCAGAGTCAGCAGCTTTCCAGGGCTGATGGCACCCTGAGGGCTGGCTGAGGGATGCTGATGGTGTGTTAAGGCCTCTCCAGAAGCCAGGCAGGAACAGACATGGAATGGATTTGTCCCTGGGGGAAAAAAAAAGGGCTCCTCTTGGCCTTTTTTTCTTTGATAAACCTGAAGTTGATATGTCGAGGCTGGGAGAGAACCCAGTGGGAAGGCTGGGGAGGTGTCGGGCACGGGGGGAGATCCCACTGTCCGAAATCCCAGCTGAGAATTCCCCACCATCCCAAATGGCAGCTGCCAAAGCCACGAGGGGATGTGTCCCTAGCTCTGGCTCCTCCACAGTGGGACCAAAGCACTGGAAGTGTTCAAACAAAACACATGGATGTGGCACCTGGGGACACGTTTTAGTGGTGACACGGCAGTGCTGGGGAATGGTTGGACCCCACAGTCTTGGAGGGCTTTTCCAACCTTAATGATTCCATAATTCCATGCTGTGGGACCTTGGGCCGTGTCGGAACACCTGAGGTGACGGGGCTGGTGGTCCTGGGGTGGGAGGGAGAGGGCAGGGAGCAGGGGATCAGTGGGATTAATGATCTCCTTCCCTCCCCAGACACTACCCGAAGCAATCCTTCACCATGGTGGCAGACACCCCCGAGAACCTGCGCCTAAAGCAGCAGAGTGAGCTCCAGAGCCAGGTGAGCATTTCACAGCCAGGTGGGCCCTCCAGAGCTCCAGACTTTCATACTCTATGGGAAAAAAAAAACCCACAGTCTTTTTCCATTCTGTTTTTGTCTGGTAGTTCCGTGTTTTGGAAGTTCTGTCTGTGTCTGGCTTTGGGAGGCTCCTGAATTAATGTCCCCAGTCACTCACCCAGTGGCAACGCTGTGTTTGTCACTTCTCTTTGTACCTCTGGAGTGCTGATCTCCTGCTCCCTCCTGCTGGAGCTGCATCCTTTTCCCTTCCAGGATAATTCCCCAGCACAGGAGGACAACGAGGTTGACTCTGTTCTCCAGGGGCCTTAAGCCAGACCTTGGGATTTTGACCTGAGCTTGAGAGAGGGATTGGACATTTAACATGAAGAATATTGAATATTGAATATTTAACATGCAGAACTGTTCACCTCAACCTGGGGAAGAACTTCTTCCCACAGAGGTGGCAGAGGAATGTCATGGATGGCCCTCTCTGGAGACATCCCAAACCCACCTGGACACACTCCTGTGTCACCTGCCCTGCCTGGGCAGGGGGGTTGGACTGGGTGGTCTCCAGAGGTCCCTTCCAACCCTGACAGCTCCGGGATAACTCTGGTTTGGGGGGCAGGTCCCTCCTCTCAGGTCTCACCCACCCCACCCCTGTTTGCTGCTCCCTTCACTCCTGGCTGCTGGGACCTCCCAGAGGTGGGAATGTCCCTCTCCCAGCCCTTGCCTTTCCCCAGGTGCCATCCAGGTGAGGTGGCAGATCCTCCACCTGGACAAGCATTGACTCTCCCAGGGGGGTATTTCAGGTAAACCCGAAATCTCGTAGGGCTTGAAAGCTCTGGCAGGCAGGAATAAACAGATGGAGGGATAAGGACTGGCACAGATAAGGATTTCTCTCTCTGGTGGGAAGAGCAGAGCCTGCTGGAGAGGGTGTTGTCCAGACGTGTCCCGTTTGATCCCCTGGAGGTGTCCCTGGATCAGCAGAGTCCCCAGCCCTGAGCAGGGTGTGGGCTGGGA